ATATATTTTTTTCAAAATCAGGGACATCAAGATTCTTTAAAATACATTCAAGAATAAAACAACACGCCCCCTAGATTTTTTTCGAGCTCGTTCAAAATCAAATTACATGGAGCTCCTAAGATTCTTTAAAATCTTTTCAAAATCAGGAGATTTCAAGATTCTTTAAAATCCACTAAAAAATAAAACAATACGGACCTTCAAGGTTTTTTTTTTAACTATTTCAAAAACAAATTACAGGAGCCCTTGAGAATCTTTAATTTTTTTTTTTAAGCAGGAACCTTCAGATTTTTTAAAATTCTTTCACAAATAAAGCAATAGACGCTGCTGATTTTTTTTCAAACTCGCTTTAAAACAAACCAGAGAGAGCCCCTGAGATTCTTTACATTTCTTTCAAAAGCAGAAGCCACATGATTTTTTTAAATCCATTCAAAAATAAAAATGAACAATAGGAGCTATGAGAATCCTTAAAATTCTTTGAAAACAAAAAGCCTTAAGATTCTTTAAATTCAAAAATAAAACAGGACACTCAAGATTTATTTCAAACCTTTTCAAAAACAAACCACAGGGTACAACCTGAGATACTTTAATCTTGCCAAAACAAGGACCATCAAGATTCTTTAAATTTCATTCAAAAGTACTCGTAGAAGCCCCAAGATTTTTTGAAGTAATTCAAAAATAAAGCAACAGGAGCCCCCGCGATTCTTTTAAGCTGTTTCAAAAACAAACCACAGGGAGCCCCTGAGATTCTATTTTTTTTTTTTAAATCAGGGACCTCGGGATTATTTAAAAAATATTTAAGAATAAACAACAGGGTTCCCAAAGATTGTTTTTGAGCTCGTTCAAAAACAAAATAATACGGATTTCAAAGGCTTTTTTTAAATATTTCAAAAATAAATTACAAAGGCCTCTGAAATATTTTTGGAAATTCGTTAATGATAAGAAACAGTCTCGTGGCATCCCGAATGAAATGAGTCTTTTTCATACGTTTGCCAATGGTGGAGAAAATATCTCTAACTTATTCGCTAAATTCTTTTCATCAGTGTATGTTATTGATGACAATAGCAACTCAGACTTTAACTTCAGCCTTGATGGAGAAGTATGCGATAGTGGATTAAATGTAAATCTTGCTGAAATATTTGAATATATCTCTCAATTAAAGTCTTCTTGCAATCCTGGTCCAGACGGAGTGCCTAGTATTCTGCTAAAAAACTGTGTTTTTTCAATCTCATTACCATTGTGTTTGTTATTTAAGACTTCTTTATCTTTAGGGAACTTTCCGACAATTTGGAAAAACAGCTATGTAACTCCCATCTTCAAATCAGGCAATCGGAGTAAAATTGATAATTATAGGGGCGTATGTAATCAGTCAGTAATACCAAAAATATTAGATTTTATTGTGGCCAAACAATTACAGTGGATTTCTTCGTCTCTTATTTCTGAGAAACAAAATGGTTTTTATAAAAACAGATCAACATTAACTAATTTGATGGAATACTACTGTTATCTTAATGATGCTTTCTCTCGAAAAAGTCAAATAGATTCTTTATACGCTGATTTCTCAAAAGCGTTTGATAAAGTCAATCATAGGTTACTTATTTTTAAGATGACTAAATTAGGTTTCAGTGGGAAGACTATCAAGTGGCTAACATCGTTTTTATTTAATAGATCTCAGCAAGTTAAAATTGGTAATCATTTGTCTTCTCAATACTTTGCATTTTCTGGTGTACCACAAGGTTCACATTGTGGACCTATACTGTTTCAATTTTCGTTAACGATTTGACAATTGGATTTCAGCACTCTAAATTCTTACTATATGCTGATGATCTGAAATTATTCAGAACTATTCAATCTGTTGATGATGCTTCAGATTTTCAACTAGACCTAAATACTCTGCATAAATGGACAGTGAGCAATTTACTTCCGTTGAATTTGAAAAAATGTTGTATAATTTCTTTTTTTAATGTCAAATCAGTGTTGTATTTTGATTACCAATTAGGGAAATCGTCAGTAATTCGTGTAAATGAAGTCAAAGATTTAGGAATCATTCTAGACTCCAAACTTACGTTCAAGGAGCATTTTCATTATATATTCAATAAATCAATAAGCATGCTGGGGCTCATTTGGCGTCACTGTCGAACATTATCTGTCTCTGCTCTTAAAACCTTGTATTTTTCTTTGGTGCAGTCAAATCTTCAATATTGCTCTCCTGTATGGTCGCCATTTTATAAGAAAGATATCGACCTTTTAGAAAGAGTCCAGAAAAAATTTCTACGACTGTTGGAATTCAAACTTAATCGGGTCCATCAAAGAGGGGATTATACGTGGATTATGTGTAATTTGAAAATATTGTCATTAGAGGATCAACGTAAAATGTACGATGTTTGTTTTCTTCATGGGCTAGTTAATGGTTACATAGACAATCCTAGCTTGTTGCGTCAACTAACATTTCTAATACCTCCTTCAAATAGTAGAAAAACTCGGAGCACAGTGATATTTAGGGTACCTGTGTCCACGACTAACAAATCGCAAAATCATCCGATCAAACGTATGATGGAAACGGCTAACAGGATGGCGGACAATTCAACATTTTTATTATTTGATTGTGACAGATCAAAATTCAAATCTAGAATTAAGTGTATTTTATTATATTTATTTATTTAAGTTTAATTCATTTTCAATTCTTTAAGAAATTATTAGTGAAGGGTTTATAAGTATATAGATTTTATTTACTTAATTAGTTTGTTTTTTTTTTCTGTATTTTCTAAGATAATTTCAATTTGTATAGTTTATAGCATTGTAAATTGGGGTTTTCCCGTCAAATTAAATTAAATTAAATTAAAAAATTAAATTAAATTAAATTAAAGAATCTTTAAAATTCTTTCAACAACAGAAGCCTCAAGATCCTTTGAAATTTATAAAAAAAAAAAAAACAACAGGAACACTCAAGTTTATTTTGAAATTCTTTCAACAACATATCACTGGTATTTTAAAAGCAGGAATCTCAAGATCATTTAAAATTCATTGAAAAATAAACAAGAGGAGCCTCCAAGATTGTTTCAAACTCCTTCAAAAACAAACCACAAGGGGTATTTAAGACAGAAAAATATAAAGAAAAATGTAGGAGATAGGGTAGAACAGAAATTAAAGATGCAACGGAAGAATAAAAAACGGTTATAAAGGAATTATGGAATGCACTGGAACATCCTCGTATAATTCTAAACACAACAAAAGAAGTTTGTGGGATTTGAAAACTAAATAAGCATAAAAAACAAACAATTTCGTGGAACCAAGAGATCAAAGAATATATCAGAATAAAGAAAAAAAAACTAATAACAAATATGAAAATATAAAAATCAAAGAACAAATTAAGTTATTCAAGGCTTTTATAAATGATTCTAAGGGCATAGTTGGCCATGGATTTAAAAAATCCCGCTTCGCTGAAATTATGCCCGTGATTATGCATCATTATAGCCAGTTCTCACTTGTCACATCAGTGTCTAATGTCATTTGTAATATGTCATTTAAAATAGTTGTTTTTATTGTTTCAATGTTTTTCAAGTGCGAATTACAGTAATTCTCGTTGATCCAAGCTTAAAAGAAAAAAACAGTCATTTTCAGAACTCTTGGTGGTTGCGTATGAAAATTTTGCTTTTGTGCTAGCAAGCGAAGATTGAAAATGGTTTATTCTGTTGAACAAGACACTTTCATCGTTATGTCTTGTTATCGCAATGGGACTTCCTAAACGAAGAGTTGTGTATTCTGTAACCGCCTGTAAGCAAGAATATCTGGCCAAATACCGTGATTTAATAATTCAAGAAACATCGCTAGATGTTCATATTAGAGATGTAATCAACATATTTGTTTGAACTGGCAGTATCAATAAAGAAAAATCTCGTAGAAGTCTTCATGTGAGGAAATTGTTGATGATTTGAGACTACTGGAGCAATTCAACAACGGCTCCAAACTATTGACGAAATGATGTTACAGAACATTTTTGAAATTACGATTCTAAAAGATGGAATTGTAAGGTTTAGGCGAAAAAAATGGAAAGAAATAAAAAATGAACCAAAACCTATTTTAGAAAAATTTTAAAAAATTAAGAAAAGGAAACCAAAACATTAAAAGATAATAAAAATTAGTGTTGCGCGTCTTTAATTTTATTTTGTTCTAATGCATTCACGACAGCAGCAAGCCATGGAAATCTAGTAGTGTCAGAAACCTAAGCATTGTTGCCACCTTAAATATCTTCCAAAAACATTATTATTAAACCAATTATTTCCAGGTATCAGCCAAAAGTAAACTATTCTTTTTTTTTCAAAAAAAAAAAACACCATTTTTCTGTTACATGCATGAAAGGTACATGTCGGATATGACATTAAAAAAAACACGTCATTCAGTCATGGTTGCCAACAAAAAAGAAAAATACCATGGCCTACTGACGTCTAAAAGGTCGTGAATATAACACACACATTCCATATTTCAGTCCGTTTCAAGACTAACTTAAACCCTGATGATGACGATGAATTGCGACTTAAATATTTAATTCAAATCAAAATTTTTTCCACGGCATAATTAAAAAAATTATATCGTTTCGTTTTTTGGGAGAAAATTTTAAATCACAATTTTTTATTAATGGTACGGAAAAATAATACAAATTCAAAATTCTCTAAAGCACTAATGTTACACGAATTTAAAAAAAAAACTGAGTTATATAATGCACTTGACACACTGACGTCAAAAAGGAAAAAAACACATCTTGACAACCTTCAAAAAATAAAAACCACAATAATAAATAAATATGACACCAAAACCCGTTGTTGGGTTCCATTTTTCCCATCAATCTTCTCTACACTTTGATTAGTCCAAGTTCACATCTGGAAAACCTTTACACTCGCTGACCATGACAAAATGACTTCCTCGATAAAAGTGCACCGGAGCAAAGAGCAACGCACCCATGGCAGTTGGCAAATCTCTACCACGATTTTTCTTTTCTGTTTCAGAGCATGGAACCCTTGAAACGCAAACGCCCCAACTTCGCCACCAAAGTTTGCCTCGTCAGCGGCGACTGCTCTTTGCCCAATTTAGGTTTAAGCGACGAAGACCTAGACAAGTTAATTAACGAAACTAACTGCATCATCCACTGCGCCGCCACTGTCCGTTTCGACGAGAAAATCCGCGCAGCCGCCAATATCAACGTCAGGGCCGTCATGGACTTGATGAAAATAGCCAAGCAAATGAAGGATTTGAAGGTAAGGAAGAATTGCGAGGTGGAGGTTCTTTGAGAAAGGTCACTGGTGAAGGCTGATGAAATTAAAGATTAAGATAAAGGAGTTGTAACCATTTTTAAGTTTGCGGGTGAATGAAATTGTAACTATTGATTCACAAATATGAATTTATTAATACAAACTAAAATGGAAATAAAACCGTAGTTGCAACTAAATGATGACCATGCGGAAAACAATGCTTACTAGTAATTAAGTCGGTTGGTTTGAAAACAATGCATGTTTAAGAACTATTAGAAAATAAGCAAAATCGTTTAATTATACAATCGTTTACATTTTTTTTTGCAAACAAAGAACACTGAAAGAAGCATTGTATTGTGTTTAAAGATGCAAAAAAGAGATGTCTGTATAAGTAATTCTAAAATATGGATGCACTGATGCATATTTTAAATAGGATTTATTCAGCAAAAACTGAGATGATGTCATCAAGTTTTTGGGGGGAATAAACAGACACATTTTGATTAGCAATTTACCATGCTTAGGATAACCTTAAAACAATTGCAAGATTTCAAACCACGAATCTGTTGTATGCCAACCATGAAGATTTTTAGACATTTTAAAAAGTTGCTCCAAGCACAACTAATTAAAAGTAAACATTACATCCTATTTTTGTTCGACACAACTGGAAAAAAAATAATAGAACGAGGAAAATGAATAGAAGAAAAAAAAAAACTGTGAAAATTTACTATAATAAATTCTAAATAGCACAAGAGGAATGAAGGTGGAAAAAATTTGATTACATATTTTTAGTCACAATTTTGGTGTTTTTTTTTTCATACTTTCTCAATTTCTCGATTTTTCGATGTTGCAATGTTTGGATTCACCGGTTTTTTCGATTTTTTACTTTTCGGCTTTTCGATTTGTGAATTATTCGATTTCTTGATTCGTTGATTTTTTAATTTTATTTTTTTTTTATTTTTTGTGTTTGGATTTTTCCATTTTTCAATTTTACGATCTTTTAATTTTTCATTATTTTAAATTTTAGATTTTTCGATTTTTCAGTTATTCAGTTCAACTTTTCGATTTTTCAATTTTTTCAAATTTTTTAATTTCCCACTCTTTGGATATTTCGTTCAATTTTGTGATTTTTCAGTTTTTCGATTCTTCAATTCCTCTTTTATTTCAGTTTTGGGATTTTTTAGTATTTCGACTTTTCGATTTTTTGGGGTACGGATTTTTCAATTTTTCGATTGCCTTATACTTCGATTTCCCAAATTTTCAACTTTTCGATATTTTAACTCTTCAATTTTTAAAATTTCGGGTTTTTCAATATCTTGAGTTTTCACTTTTTCTATATATCAATTTTTGAATTTTCGGAATTTTTACGTTTTCGATTTTCCAATTTTTAAAATTTTCAAGTTTCGATTTCTCGATTTGATTTTTCAGTTTTCGATTTTCAAATTTTAGATTTTCGAAATTTTATTTTTAGATTTCTTGATGTTTGGGTTTCTCCATTTTTTCAATTTTACGATATTTTAATTTTTCAATATATGAAATTTTACATTTTTCGATTTTTCAAATTTTGATGTTTCTGAGTCTTCTGTTTTCTAATGTCTCAATTAATCTATTTTTTTATTTTACCATTTCACGACTTCTCAAAGTTTCGATTTTTCAGGTTTTTGATTTTTCAATTTTTCGATTTTTCAAGTTTGTGGTTTTTCAACTTTGCTTTTTTGACTTTTCGATTTCTCAATTTTTCAATTTTTTAATTTCCCAATTTTTGGATATTTCGTTCAGTTTTGTGATTTTTCAGTTTTCTGATTCTTCAATTTTTCTTCTAATTTTGAATTTTTCGATATTTCAGTTCTGGGAATTTTTAGCATTTCGACTTTTCGGGTTTTGCGACTTTTGCTTTTTGGATTTTCAATTTTTCGTTTTCAAAACTTTAGATTTTTCAATTTTTCGACTGTTTTATAGTTCTTCTTTCAATTTTCGGAATTTTTAAATTTTCGATTTTCCAATTTTTAAAATTTTAGAGTTTCGATTTCTGGATTAATTGATTTTTTAATTTCCGATTTTTTATTTTCTGATTATTTGATGTTTGGATTTCCCCATTTTTCAATTTTACGATATTTGAATTTTTCGATTTTTCAGTTCTTCAATGTTTTAATTTTTCAAATTGTGACGTTCCTGATTTTTCAGTTTCCTGATTTCTCAATTAATCTATTTTCCTATTTTCCCATTTCTCGACTTCCCAAAGTTTAGATTTTTCAGTTCTTCAGTTCTTTAATTGTGCGATTTTTCAGGTTTTTGATTTTTCAACTTTTCGATTTTTTAAGTTAGCGATTTTTAGACTTTGCCTTCAGTTTTTCAATTCTTCAATTTTTCTTCAATTTTTCTTTTCCTTTTCAACTTTTCGATATTTCAGTTTTGGGATTTTTTAGTATTTATTTCGACTTTTCGTTGTTTTGAGTTCTGGATTGTTCGTTTTCTCGACTTTTAATTTTTGGATTTTCAATTTTTCGTTTTTAAAACTTTTGATTTTTAAATTTTCGACTGTTTTATACTTGGATTTGTCAATTTTTCAATTTTTCGATACTTTAACTTTTCAATTTTTAAAATGTTTGGTTTTTCGATATTTTGAGTTTTTAGTTCTTCTATTTTTCAATTTTTCAATTTTCCGAATTTTTAAATTTTCGATTTTCCAATTTTTAAAATTTTCAAGTTTCGATTTCTCAATTTGTTGATTTTTCAGTTTTCGATTTTCAAATTTTAGATTTTCGAATTTTTATTTTTCATTTTTTGATGTTTGGGTTTCTCCATTTTTCAATTTTACCATAAATTTAATTTTTCAATATTTTAAATTTTACCTTTTTCGATTTTTCGGTTCTTCAGTATTTTTTAATTTTTCAAATTTTGATGTTTCTGAGTCTTCAGTTTTCTGATTTCTCAATTAATCAATTTTTTTATTTTACCATTTCACGACTTCTCAAAGTTTCCCAATTTTTCAGTTTTTCGATTCTTTAATTTTTCTTCTATTTCTGAATTTTTCAAATACTCGACTTTTTGCTTTTTGGATTTTCAATTTTCCGTTTTCAAAAAGTTTTCGAAAAGTTGAAAATTTGAGAAATCGCAATATAAAACAACCGAAAAATTGAAAAATCCAAGGTTTAAAAAACCAAACTGTAAATCCAAAAAGTAAAAAATCGAAAAGTCGAAGAATCAAAATATGGAAAATACCAAAAACTGAAAGAAATATCCAAAAATTGAGAAATTAAAAAATTTGAAAATTGAGAAATCGAAAAGCCAAAAAAGCAAAGTCCAAAAATCGAAAAATCGGGGTACTGAAGAAGTGAAAAATCGAAACTTTGAGAAGTCGAGAAATGGGAAAATAAAAAATAGATTAATTAAGAAGTCGGAAAACTGAAAATTTAGCAACATCATAATTTGAAAAAGTGAAAAATATAAATACTGAAGGACTGAAAAATCAAACAATCGAGAAATCGGAAAATCTAAAATTTGAAACATTGAAAAATTCAAATATCGAAAAACTGAAAAATCGAAAAACTGAAAAAGTGACAAATGGAGAAGTCGAAACCCCAGAAGAAAATTGAAAAATTGAAAAATTGGAAAATCGAAAAATTAAAAAGCCCAAAAGTAACAAATCGAAAAACCGAGAAATCCAAAAATCGAAACATCGAAAAATTCAAAAACTGAGACATCGTGAAATCGAAAAATCAAGGATTCATAAATTGAGGAGTCGAAAGCCTAGAAGAAATGTTAAAAATTGAAAAATTGATGAATCGAGAAATTCAACAATCAAAACATCGAAACATCTGAATTCGATAAATCGAGAAATCAAAAAATTGAAAAATCTAAAAAAAAAGAAAAATCGGAGAAAATTTTAAAATTCGCAAAATCGAAAAATTGAAATGAAAAAGAACTGGAAACTCGAGAAATCGAAAAACTTAGAATTTTAAAAATTGAAAAAATAAGACATAAGAAATTGAATCATCTAAAGCTTAACAAAAAATTGAAAATCCAAAAAGTAAAAAATCGAGACATCAAAAAGTCCAAAAATCGAAAAGTCAAAAAATCGAAGTATTGAAAAATTCCAAAACCAAAATAAATATCCAAAAAATTGAGAGATTAAAAAATTAGAAAATTGAGAAATCAAAAAACCTGAAAAATTGGAAATTGAAGAATTGAAGAAGAGAAAAATCGAAACTTCGGGAAGTCGAGAAATAGGAAAATAAAGTAGTGGATGTGATTCACATCAGCTCTAACGAAAGTCGGCTTTATAGATAAATCGCTTAGAGACGATATTGGCCCGAGTGCGCTCTGGTCTGTAGATCAAACAAGTTCTCAGTCGACGACCTTTAGATTAGTTATTGCTCCCGACTTTGAAAAACTCGATATTTAAACAATCAATATATAAAATTGAGGACCTAAAAGTGAAAATCATAAGTACAAGAGTATGAATGTGTTTCGCCGGAAGTTCTTACTCGAGATTTGGAAATCTAAAGCCCCGAGTCAATTTATGTAGCGAAACTGCATAAATTTGTTATAAATTCAATGAAATATGTTACTTATCAGAAATAAATCATTTTAAATCAACAAGGGTTTAATTCTTGTTGACATAATATTATAACCCAACTTTCTAAGCTCAGCCACAGCCAACCCGTATTCATTAGGTTATCACAATAATGTACATTTTTAAGAACAAAATGAATTAAATGTTATAATTTTTTTTAATTGAAAACCGTGTCAAATTACGACTCACTTTTCAACCAAATTAGTTCTGTTAATAAATTCTTGAGTGACTAGATCACAAATCAAAAAAATTGGTCTAAAGTCAAATGACTTAAGTAGAAATAAATCCACACGTTCACCGGCAGTGGTTATGCACGTAACCCAAATATGAGCTATGCGCACACAAATTTTTGTAAAGTAATTGTGATAAAAATTACGGCAGACTCATAAACCACAAATATAGGACTATGTTATGTTGTAAAATGTAAATATGA